ATAGTTATTATATATATATATATATATATATATATATATATATACATACATATATATACATATATATATAGGACACCTGTATGCCTTACTATTCTCTCAATACTTACCTCATGGAAAATATAAGCTAAGATTTCATTCAGATTCAGGTTATTACCTTTATGAAGATATTTAATATAAAACAGCAGATAAATATGAAATTTTTATGCTGCAATGTATGCTTCTTTTTTAAATGTTAAACATTACGAAATCCAATTGGGAAATAAATTTCTGATTTGACAAGTCGGATACATTTAAGAATCTTAACATTATCATCTTGCATGTCCTACATCCGGAACAGGATTGGTACTAGTGTGATGTTATATGACTACCAATGAATCATATATTGTTTTATTAAAAATGATTGAGTTTTTTTCGGCACTAAATCAATATTATAGAGAACAATGCACTGGCAGTATTTTCATATTAAATGATTTCGTTTTTTTTCCCTTGCTAGTTTTTTTTCCCCGAATTTCTTAAAGTAAAAAAAAAAAGAAAAAAAGGAACAAAAGTTTAATTAGGCATTGGTTCGTAGATTTTAGCAGTCTATTTTCATTCAAAGAATTTTAAAGTTGTGTTCAAATATAGAATTCATTTTTGGCTGTAATATTAAACATCGGCTTCTGGAATGTAAAATACCAGCAATAGCTTGTGTGTACGGTTCCACAATTCTCGTGAATTTATAATAACAGGTCGAGCAGGTATCAGCGAGAAAGCAAAGCCTTAAGGCTACCAAATAATATATTTCAATTTCTGCTTCCGGAAAATGCAATTCGTTTTTTTTTTTTTTTTTTGTTGTGTACAACTATTTTCAGTGAATTTCAATTGATATCAATCCACTAAACATTAGGTATCGCTCAGTGATTGCAGGTTATTGGCGGGGAAATGGCCGATCGTTTAATACCGGTACCACTCAGTTCAGCGCCAACCGACCAGGCTGTAAGCGCAAAAGCACAATATTTCGTTTTCATGGGCCCAACTCTGTGGGGTGGACTTTTCTCTTTCTCTCTCACTCTCTCTGTCTCTCTCTCTCTCTCTCCTTTCCTCTCTCATACACATACACATACACACACACACAAACATACTTTTTACATTAAATTTTCAAATTTTCAAATTCGAATTTGGGAAGAAAAAGAATTTTGTATCGTTATTTGCCCCATTCCTCTCTCCCATAAAACGAATAATTATTGCTATTGCTTTGAGGAAAATGTCCTTTGAACTTTGACTTTCAATTTATCAAAAAACTCAAATTACTCAGCTTTTGATGTTTATTGTCAAAATGCACGGTTTGTGGTGTATATTTTGCGCCGTGCTGTGGCTGGTTGCTGCTTGCATTGTGTGGTGCCATCATTTATTGTGACTATTATTGTTATTAATATTATTAATTAATTAACTATTATTATTATTTATTATTATTATTATTATTAATTATTATTATTATTATTATTATTATTACTATTATTATTATTATCAATTATAATTTTTACCATTATTTATTATTACTATTATTATTATTCATACATTGAAACTAACAAGCATCAGATTGGTGTCGTTGTTTCCTTTCATTATTATTGATTGTGTTGACACTTCAGTTAACATTAATTACTCTTCTTAATTTTTTTATTTTTATAATTGCTTCTTGTGTTTTTTTTTCTTTCTTTACCTCGTGCTTTTTTTCCTTTTGAGAAACTTTTGTTTTTTTCTTTTCTTTTTTTTCTCTTTCTATTCTAACGAAATGCACAGCACTGCTTTTTCCTTTTACTTGAACAAGTAAAAAAAATAGAGCGGATTATGCATAAAATGCATGCACATACATGCACGCATTCATTTTTCTGGAAATGTTTTACTTTTAATTTAGTAGTACCATGAATTTTAATTTGCAATTAGATATGAGCATGTTATTGCCTATAATTTCTGGCAAATAATATGAATCCAAATCCGATAAGCAATGTTTGAGAAGGTTATTTTTTGATCAAAAAAATATTTGAAATTTGGAATTACAATGGGAAAATAATTAGTAAATATAATTTTTTTCATTCTTCCTGAATATTTTCCAAAAATTACCATTCAACATGTAGTATTTATTATTCACTCCATGTTTTGCAATATTCATATAATTTTACTCAAATTGAAGTACTACAATATTGAATTTTACTTTTATCAAGAGTTTACTTTTTACTGTTTTTATCAAAAATTTTTAATGAAAATTTCATTTTATATTCAACACCACGATACACGCTGTGTTCTTCAAATATACTCACTAATTAGTCCTTTAACTCAAAATTTTGCTCTGTTCGATTTTATATTTGTGGAAATGATCAAGTTCTAGAATGCAACCCATTTTTTTCCGTGCAAAATCAAATCATGCATCACTATAAATTTCGAATTTTCAATTTTTTATCGTATCTTTCATTTCCATTTACTCTTCGATATCCTAATTTTATTTTTCAAATATTATCGCAAAAGTTTCACTAGTAATCTTTGGACTTTTTTTCACTATTTTTTTTCCTTTTTATTTTATTTTTTATCCTTCCGCTTCTTAGTTTTTCTGATCAATCGCTTTATTTTCTTAATCTCACTCTTAATTCCTTTTTTTTTTTTTTTTTTTTTTAG